AGACAGCCATGCGGCACAGGCCTGCAACCCCAGCTACAATGGAAGGTGAAGCAGGAGGATCACATGTTCAAGCCTGCCTGGGACAGAATAAGAAGGGCTGAGGTGGTAATTCCCTTGTTTTGAATGCAGAATGCAGGAGGCTCTATGTTCCATCCTTAGCACTGCAAAACTACCAAGGAAATTAATAAATATAAGGAATAGATTTCTTTCTACTTGACGCCTCTAACAATTTTATCTCTTGCCAAGAGCAGCACAGAAAAGGGCTAGGTTTGTAGCTCTATTGGTAGACTGCTTGTCTAGCATACATGAGGGTCCATGTTTGATCCCCAACACTGCATAAACACAGCATCATGGTACACACCTGTCATCTCAGCCTTAGGAGGTGGAAACAAAAACTGCATGAGATCCTGTCTCAGAAAACTTCACAGTAGCCAGGCTGCCAGTAGCAGAGCTAAGTAAAATGCTTGTACCAAACCCGACAATCTGAGTGTGAAGCCCGGGACTCCTGGGAAGGTGAAGGAGAACCCATTTCTGAGAGCTGTGCTCTGACCACCACAGGTACACTGGGGTATGTGCCACCCCACTTCCTGAACAAAGAAATACACGCAATATCTTTTTAATAAACAGTATCAGAGAACAAACTTTAAAAGTATATGAAAGTGAGTACATATAGTAATGAACACACCTGTAATCCCAAAACTTGAGGTAGAAGAACAGGAGTTCAAGGACAGCCTGTGCAGGAAGAGACCCAGTCCCTTGCCCCATCCCCCCCCCAAAAAAAAACAGAAGAGAAAAAAAACACTCAAGATATTAAAATAAAAATAAATTCCCTCTTTAAAATTGGGCAAACAGGGCAAGATGTGTCAGGAAGTAGAGGCACCTGCCACCTGAGCACGGTGAGCAGAGTGTGAGCCCAGGATCCATACAGTAGAAGGGGAGAACTCAGTTCTAAAGCTGGCCCACCTCTCTCTCTCTCTCTCTCTCTCTCTCTCTCTCTCTCTCTCTCTCTCTCTCACACACACACACACACACACACACACACACACCCTCACTCATGTACACAAAATAAATAAAAACTGGGCCAAAGAGGCAGGAGCAAAGTTGGGAAGCAGTTGACATCCACTTGTTTATTGCCTTTTCTTTGGGCCCACCTCAGGCAGTGCTCACTTGGGAAACTGTCTACAAACCACCTCTCCTACCAAGCTTAAAGGGAAAGGCTGTTTCATTATTCCCCACATTCCTTGGTACCTAGCAGTGCATTTACACAGTAAGCAAACAGCCCAAGGATTTAGAGCTATCTGTTAGTCCACACACTCAACTACAACACTCATAACTAAGCTAATGAGCTGAGTAATCCGACAGGTTTTTATTTACAAAGCTATTTCCTGACTTTTATAAACTCTTAATAGCATACATTTTAAATATGCTGTTTACCAAAACATGACATTAAGATAGAGTGTGTGTGACACAGGATGGCCTGGACTTCTAAACCCTGCCTCAGCTTCCTGACAGGGTGCTGGAAATACAAGCACGAGCCTTAATGTTTTGTTGTCTCTTGACAGAACTGGCTGGCATTAAATTCCTAGGCTCAAAGGCTCCTCCAGCTTTAACGGACGAGCCAGGTGACACCATAGCTGGCTTTTATTTTCTTTTGGTGGTGAATCCAGAGCTTTATGATGCACGAACTGCAAAGCCAGGGATGGAGTTAGCTGGTCAATGCTTACCCAGCAGTCTGAAGCTCTGAGTTCAAGTCCTAACACTCCATTAATCTGACAGCTCGTGAGCAGGCAAGTGGAAGGAAAAAAAATCAAGAGCTCAAGGTCACTCTTGGTCACAGCATTGTCAAAGCCAGCCAGACACCTAAGGCCCTGTCTCAAAAAAAAAAAAAAAAAGAAGCAGGAGAACACAACATGTACTCCACAAAAGAGCTACAGCCCTAGTAGAGACATTTGAAAAGCTAAACAGAGAAAACAGAAAATGACTGTGTTTGGTGTGTAAGAAATGGAACTAGAGATTGTTAACATAAAGAACATACAGTGACCGAGTGCTGGGACCTGGGAAGTGTCTGCTAACATGACAAACACATTTCAAAACGAAATGAAATAAGGCCTTGCAATTCCCTTCAGTAAAGTCACATAACAAATAGGAACTTCTCTGTGTGGGGCACTGCTACCTCCACAGTCACATTCCTTTCTCCCATCTCTGTGGTACTGCCTCATGAGGTGCTGGAGCTGGCTCAATCCCACACTTGCTCATGGCCCAGTGGAAATACTGGCATATCAAGGGTACAGTCTCACTACAGTTCCAGGCTGCCCAACCCTAAACCTCTATGAAGGGCAGAGTCAGGCAAACTCCAATACTTGGATGAATTGTTACCATCACCAGTTCTTGACTGGCCGTACTAGCTAAGAATGGCTTTTAGGCTTTTAAATGGTGGTGGTGGCAGGGTTTCAAAGAATCATATTTTATGACACATGAAAATTATATGAAATTCAAATGTCAGTGTCCATAAATAAGGTTTTAATTGGAAGATGGCCACAAGCACTTGATTAGCTGGTTTTCAAATGACCACTGTGGAAGTGACAGAGCTCATAGCTGGCTCAGCCTACATACAGTGTTTTCTACCTGGGCCTTCACTTTGGAGAAAGTATGCTAAGCCTGGCCTAGACCGTTTCTAGCTGTCCTTGGCTGCATCCATTTTTCTTAGAGCAATCCAGTGCTTGTTCTTGACAGGTGTTCATCTTAGGGCTGTGTAGTCCAAAACATCATCATCTGTATACTACAGAGCCATTGGTTAGAGCCAAGAGAAGACAAAGTAGCAAGCTCCTTGTGCACAGAAGCCTGGAGAAGCAAGAAGACAAGAGCAATAGAGACAGCGCGGCTCTGCCCTGTACTAGACTACATTAGTTCTGGGTCACACTCCTGAGGAAAAAAAACTGCAGAGAATTTGGAGGGCAGATTGATTGAAGAGCTCAAAAACCAGACCACTAAAAAATGCTAGGCTAGGTATGGTGGCACAGGAGGGAGGCGGATAGAGGGAGTGTTTTTGAGTGTGAGGCCAGTCTAATGCACATAGTAAATTCAGGTCAACCAAAAATTGGTACCATGATCCGGTCTCAAAAAAACAAAGCTGAGGCCAGACAGTGTGACGTACACCTTTAATCCCAGCACCCAGGAGGCAGATTCAGGCAGATCTCTGAGTTTGAGGCCAACCTGGTCTACAAAGTAAGTTCCAGGACAGCCGGAGCTACCCAGAGAAACCATGCCTTGGAAAAATAAACAAACAAAGCAGGCTGGAACAAAACAAACAAACAGCTTTTTCAAAGCTGAGAAGAGAAATATAAGTGAAAACCTGGGATTATAACCTCTATTTGCTGATATGTCAAATCCCTCCTGATGAAAATAATTACTGCCTGAAATAGACAAAACAGAGAAATCTCTCAAAAAACTATCATTCCTGCATTAGGCCAAAGACTAGACCCTTAGACTACAACTGTCTGTTGGTATATAACTTTAACCACAGTCCTTGGAAGGCAGAGGCAAGCATTATTCATGGCCAGGCCAGCCAGGGCTACTTAGTGAGACCCTGGCTCAAGTAAATAAAGTAATAAATTTAATTAATGTATTATAGAAATATAAAATCACGTGTTAAACACTGTACAATATCCTCAACATCCATTTAGGAAACATCTGGCATTAAGTTGCCAAAAAAGGTGTTGCAAGTTTCAAGATGTCAAGTAACTAAAAGGCAACACAGGTGTTATAAAAGCACCTTTTCCAGGCCCAAACAGGGAAAGGCAGGCTTAAATTGCAGTGTGTCTTTTATTGAAGGATATTGTATCTACCTAAGCCATTTTAATGACTCTAGTACACTATCTGGGGGTAAAGGACTCTTTTTTTCCATGCTATTGCTCATTAAGAATGTTCTGGATCTGGATGCTTCCTTAAGGTGAGGGGCAAAGATCTCAGAGACCCATCTCCCTAGACTGGGATTCTGTTATTTTAATCTAGTTCCTGAGTTAGAGCCTGCAGCCAATGCCAACCTTCACTTTGTCTTGAAGGTGGTCAACACCCCTACTGCTGCAATTTAAGGCTAACCTTAACATCTCCAAATGGAATTGATTATTGACCTTAATTACAACTTTTTTCAAACTGCAGCGATAAGAAACATATTCCCACTAAGCATACAAAATGGATTAACAGGTAGAATTCCAAATATTTCTCTGTTTCTGACTGGGGCTAAAATAATTACCCTGCTACCCCAACACTTGAACAGTTAGTAATCAAAAATGAGCCAAGAAGTCTCTTCCCCCCCCTTTTTTTAATACAGAATCCGTGAACACAAAACGTTCAGAGTAATTCTCAATCTTGCCATTAGGAATGCAAATTCTGAAACTCACACGAAATATATGTTAATCAGAGTTTTACAACCTAGGAAATCCTTGGTCTGTATTTCCCTAAGAATGCCCTTCCCTCGGTAAAGCACACCCTACAATCCTCCACAAACTTTCTCCACTCCCCAACACCTCCCCAGGACTTGAGAATCTAAAGGACAGCGTACTTTCAAGTCACTTCTACAAGCTTCCATTAACCGTAGGCAAATAAACTTTTCACCAAGTCGGGTGACTACTTTTTAAAGTAAAACCTGCTGAAGTGAAACAAAGAGCACACAGCCCCCTCCCCCTTCCTAAACCATATGGTAGTAAATTCAACTTATTTTTCACCAGTTCATCGCCCATCCGTCGGCCTTCCAACACTCGTGCCTTTGTGCCGTGGGGACGAGACCCGAGTGGCCTGACTCGCAGCCACAGAACCCTAGCGTGTTTTCACGATGCAGCGCGGAAGTCCAAACGCCCCCGACCGTAAGGCTGCTGCGGTGGGTAGCGCACGCGGGCGAGGGCCCGGGGCCGTCCGGGAGCGAGTTCCGCTCCGACCGGGTGACGGAGCAGGGAGTTTGCTCGTCCCGGCCGGTCTGGATCCGCCTCGGGAACTTGGCTTACCCGAGCCCAGGGACGCGCCGAGGCCTACCGCGAGGCCGGGCGAGCTCCAGTCAGCGAGGGCTGCCCGAGCCGCGGCGCCTTCCCGCCGGCGGCCCTCAAGCGGGACCGCCGCTCGCCCGCGGTCTCCAGGACACCGGACGCGTCCGCCGGGCCCGGACCCCGCTCCCCTGCCACGGCCGCACGCCTGCGACCCGGCTCGGCCACCCGCGCCGGGCTCTTCCGGGAGCCGCCGCAGCTAGGCCGCGCCGGGGCCCCGCGGTTCCCCCTCGGCCCGGCCGGGCAGGCCTCGGCGTCCGGTATGCGTCCCGAGAGCCAGGCTCCCGCCGGTAACGGGCCCCGCCGCCTCCCCTCCCCCTCTCCCGCCCCATGACAGTGCAAAGCCTCCGGCCGCCCGGCCGCCCCGCCTCCGGCTCCAGGCCCAGCTCAGGGCCGCCGCCGCAAGCCACGGTAGCGGCCGCCGCTCCCGCTCTCGCTCGCTCTTCGGGCTCCAGTCGCCTCGGGGCCCCGAGTCCCACGACTCGGGCCCGGGCCGCGTCTCCGCCGGTAGCCCGCTGCCCTCGGCAGCGCCCGGACCCCGGGCGGGGTAGGCCGAGGCCCAGGCGGTGGGGGCGGGGGCTCGGCTCTCACCTTCATGTCGGGACATCCTAGTTCAGACGCTGGCGGCGCGGCCCCTCCCGGGCTCCCGGCTGCAGTGTGCCCCCACCGCGGGCTCCCGGCGCTGCCCGCGCCCAGCCGGCCGACTCCCACTCGACTCCCGGGCTCGGCCGCGGGGGCGGGGTGGGCAGGGGAGCGCTCCCGCGGCGGCGGCGGCGGCGGGGAGGCGGCGCGGGGCGGGAATGGGGCCGGGCCTGGCCGGGGCTGAGCTCCTCCAGGAGGCGGGTCCGACGCGGCCGCGGCTCCGCCGGCGCCCGCCGTGACTCGGTCACTCTTGGGCCCCCGCCGGCTCCCGGCAGCGGCGCGGCGTCCGCAAATCCCGCTCGTCCCCTCCCCCGGCCCGCCCCCCGCCCGTCTCTCGGGCCGCCGCCTCCTTCTCCTCTTCCTCCTCTTCCGCCTCCTTCCGCCCGCACGCCCGCCCCGCCTCTCGCCGCCCCGAGGCCCCGCGGCCGGCGGGCGACCGTGCTCGGCGGCGACCCGGCCGCGGCCCCGCAGCACCCGAGCCCGGCCGCGGCCCGCCACGCTGCGCGTGGGGAGGACCAGGACGCGAAACGCCCCGAAGGTGGCTCCCCAGCGCCCGGGCGCGCGGCTGCCGGGCCATCGCGGACCGCTGGGGGACATGTGTTTGCGTGCTTCTTTAGAGTCCGGGACTCGGATGGGAAAGGCGGGCGGGCCTCTCCAGAGCTCGCGTGCCCCGGGTCCCGCGGGGAGACCACGGCCCAGGCCTAGACGGCCACCCCGGCTGAAGGCTGGGTTCCCTGGCCGCCGCCCGCCGGAATGCGCTGCCGGGAAAACTTGGTGGGCTTCGGGGCGGGCTTTCTGCTCGTGGTCTGCTTTTCGGTGTGCGTGCGTGTGTGTGTGTGTGTGTGTGTGTGTGTGTGTGTGTGTGTGTGTACACGTGCGGGTTTGCTTTCTGCTCGTGGTCTGCGTTTCGGTGTGTGTGTGTGTGTGCGTGTGTACACGTGTATGTCCTTTTCCTCGACCTCTCCCAGGCTTCTTACAGTCAACTTTCTTTTCAGGCTTTACTAATTCAACAAATACTTGAGACTACGCCTGACCACGTGTCAGTGGTGGCGTGGCGTAGGTAGAATAGATCGCGCCCTAGAGTTAAGTCGTGTTCAGCCCTGGGATTCTGCTTCTGATATGCTCGGTGTAACCTTGGACAACTGACTTAACCTTGCTGAGCCTCCGCTCTTACTTGTTCGCTTTTGGTACTTAATTTTGTTCTTGTCCACTCGAAATTGGACCAAGTTCCCAGATAAGTTTACTGAAACTGGGTTCCAGAGTACTGCTTGCTTTGGCGATTTTCCGAATCTGCCCACCCCTCCACTGACTGACCTGATTCAAGCGTTGCCTTGGCTTCTGTGACTTTTTAAAAGGGCCTACCAATAGAGGAGAAGAAAAGGTACAGTGCCAAAATTTAGCGTGTAAACTATCTAGCAGAAGAAGGACCCTGTTTGTAACAATATTTTATTGAATATGATTTAAGATATGCCTGTTTTAAGGAATATTAAAAGGTTAAATTTGAGGAAATACGAATGCGATCACCCCCATCTACCCAAGAAACTGTGTATAGCTGTAAATACTGAGAAATAAACCAGGTTTTTTGTTTTGTTTTTTAATTTGATGTTGTTTTGAGATAGAACTTTATATTATAGCTAAGCCTGTCTGTGAATTGCTTTGCTTAAGTAGCTGAGGATGACCTTGAACTCCAGATCCTTCTGCCCCCCCCCCCCCCCACCTAACTTAGATTTAAATGAGGACTAGATCATCAGGAATGCTCCCATTTCGTTTATGGAATTCCCACACTGACAGAGAAAGGCCCAAGCTAAACAAAAATAGGGATTACCAAGGTAGAGCAGGGTTTGCAGTTGGCCTGCCCAGCCCAGCAACGATGCCTGTTAGTGGGCAAGAGCCTTTCTACGCATTTTTAAATTACTGACCAGGGATTCCGGGTCTCAGTCCAATCCCTGAACTTCTTGAGCTGTGAAAATTAGGCTAGCAGCTCTTAACAATGCTCACCACGTCTCCTGAGTGAATGATGATTTTATATAAATTTGCATCAAAGTTTTTAGGCAGTCCTGTAAAAATTCTGGAACAGTTAAGGTGGCCAACAAAAGCAACACCTCCGAAAAGGAAAACCAGTAAGTATGAAAAAAAAAATGGACATGAAAATGGGAAACTAGGAAGAGGATGGGACTGGAGCTGGGAGGTGGGGTGTGCTCCGAGTACACGGAAAAGCCACAACTCAGCGTGGTGGAAATGAATATTGCTAAGGAAAAGAAACATGGAAAGACGAGACGTTTTATTGTGTTGAAGGGTTAGCTAGTGTTGCTCATGGGAGCCAGTATGCAGCTTTGTCTGACCTCCAACGGATGACCATCAGTTCTCTGGCAGTGATTTTATTGTTTTCAGTTGGGCAAAAGTAAGAAAATGAGCGTAAGAAACTTCTTATTCTGGTAAGATTAGACTGGGTCATGACTATGGTTGTGAGGTTTTATCAAATACAGTCAGAGGTTGGGTTTTTAAGTTCAAAACAAACTATACAGCCCAGCCTCCTCAGGGTGGTGGTAAGTTCAGCTCTGGGAAAGTGGAGGCAGGAGGAGCTCAAGGCCTGGACCAGGTAACTGTAGCAGGATCCACGTGGGAGGGAGAGAACGAACTGAACTCCAAACGTTGTCCTCCACCCTCCATACTCATGCACCAGCATGAGATTCCAGGCTGATCCTGCCTCGAAAAAACCAATAAGTAGAATCATTTATTTGCTTCGCTGCCATACAGGAAATGCCCTTAGAAAAACAATTACCTGTTTACCCTGTTCCTCCCCTATCCGTCCTTGGTCTCTCTTACGTCCAGCTGTGACAAGGCTTTCCCAAGCTAACCTGTGTTCCTAGGTGGCCCAGTTGTGCTCTTTAAAGCAAGCAGTCAGATAATTCTAGTGAGATTCAAATAGAGTTAAGACTGGGGGGAAGACAGCGACACAAGCCTTTAGTTCCAGCACTTGGGAGGCAGAAGCAGATCTGAGTTCAAGGTCAGCCTAGTCTACAGAGAGTTTCAGGACAGCTAAGGCCACATTGTAAAACCCTGTTAAAAAAAAAAAATAGGTTGGGGAAAAGTGTCCATGAGTCCTAAAGTTTGAAAGTCCAAATCATATGGGCAAAAATCACTCAGGCAATTACAGCAGCTGAGGCTGGGGAGCTAGATTGTCTATGGTGAACTTGGGAGATGTGGGAATATTCTCTGTGATTGCAGCTCCTCACATTGCTGGATATGCTTGTCAGAAGTCAGCTATGCCACAATAAAATTGCCCTGCAGCAAGAAAACCCATAGTGTTAGGGCATAGTGGCTCCCGCCTATAATCCCAACACTCAAGAGGCAGAGTCAACACAGTTGTGGGTTCAAGGCCAGCCAGATTTACCTGTGTTCAGCCTAACTAGGGCCACATGAGATCCTGTGTTAAAAGTAGAAATAGCGAAATGGCTCAGCAGTAATGAACACCCACATCAGGCGGCCTACAACCACCAGTAACTTTAGTTCCCAGAGAGCCTATGACCTCTCCTGACCTCTACAGGCACCTGCACTTATATAAGTAAAACTACATTCTTTGGGTTTTGTTAAAGAAGAAAATATCTACTTAGCAAGTTCCAGGTCAGCCAACCTTAAAAGGAACTGTCTTAAAAGTACTTTTTTAATAAGGAAAAAGAGCCACGTGGTGGTGATGCATGTCTTTAATCTCAGTCAGGAGGCAGAGGCAAGGTGGATCTCCGTGAGTTCGAGGCCAGCCTGGTCTACAAGAGCTAATTCCAGGACAACCAGAGAAACCCGTCTCAAAAAACCAAAAAACAAGCACCAAGGGTACTGGCTTGTGGCTAAGAGTTTGGTCTTAGATAACAAAGAGGACCCTAAGAAACATAATGGATCCACTTAGGAAGGCAAAAAAGAGAAGATCTAAGTAAATTGGAAGCGTGGGGGGCAGGGATAGGGTAGAAGGTAGAGGGGAGGGAAGAAGGGGAGTGGGAAAAAAACGTATAGCAAAAACAATAAAAAGCCTCAATCAATTGATATACTCATAAAATAAAGAGTACTTAGTGATCCAGAGGAGCCAAGATGAGTTCACAACTCCCAGGTCTGGCTCCTCATGAACTTTTCGCAACTCCAGTTCCTGGGGATCTCTTCCACAAGCACCTGAACACCTATGGCATACACATACATAAATTGAAACTTAAAAAAACCAACAGTCAGCTCCTGTAGCCTGTAGGGTGAGCTGTAGTTAACTGTAAGGCCAGATGTGTTTTCCAGTATCCTAACTCTGCCTTATTGTCCCGTGTTAATTCCTTCCTCTGGGCCACTGCACCTGCTTTCCTTTCTCTTTATTGGGAGATCAGATAATTCAAGTTCAAATTCATATTCCCTGATCCTTAGCGAATCCTGTCTGCTCAGCTTGTGCTCGCCCAAGCTGTGTGTGATGTTTTTCATGTTTTCATCTTCCTGGTAGACCCATCTGGGTGCAGGGACCACAGAACC